AACTATTTTTTTATCCCAATAGCTTAAAACTACCATGCAGAATGTCCTAAAAAGGTAAAAATTGGTACATATATTGTAACTATTGTAAGTAGTAGAATTTAAAGGTCAATTATGTAAATACCTTACTTTTATTCTTTGTAAAGAATAAAAATATGGCTGTATTAAGGTTAAGGACCAAATTTTATATCAAAGCTTCCTAAAGGGTATTAGGAACTATGAAGTAAACTCTTTTACATTCCTAAATTCTTAAAAAGAATTTCCTGGTGCTGTTGTTTTCCAAAACCAAGGGGGCAGGTGAAACAAAGATTAATGAGGCTGGAATAGAATTTCTGATGAAATAACTAAGTTCCACTTTGGGTAGAAAGTCACATTATTCCTTTACCTTCAAATATCTATTTTGCCTCTTTTACTTTATGCATGAAGCCTATAAAAAATGTTTGGAATATAAGGATTTTCCAGATCATGTGCAATCTGTTCTAAAATTTAAGTCTAAATTGTATAATACTTTGGTGTGTTCTCAGTCATCTTTGCTAGAAGGGCATGCTATTCAGTTTTTTTTTCCCCTTAGTCCATTTGCGTACATCATTCAGAGTGTTAGTGCCTTGGTTGTGTAGATGGGAAAATTATAGTATATATTTGGAGATAGAATTGTGGTGAAAGAACATGTACTTGGAAATTAAATTGACTCAAGTTCGAGTTCTGCCTGTGATACTTATTGCTACTTAATCTTGGTAAGTCATCTAACCTTACCAAACTTCTGTGAATTTCTAAATAAATAGGATCTATATCAAACTTGCATGGTTGTTTGATAATTAGAAGAAAAGTTAAAATTATATATTTAAAATAGCTGTGGCTATTGCTAGCATTTATTTGTACTCAATTGTTTCTGTTATTATAGATATTTGTGCCTTATGGGTTCTAATGTACTTTTATAAATACAAATCTGTTGCTTTTCTGGAAAGGAAGAAGAAAATTAAATGTTGGGAGTGTTGGAGGCAGATCTAATGTAATAAGTTAAAGCAAAAGTGTATTCGCTATGAACACAGAAAGGAAAAAGCAGCAGAAAGTGGGGAAAAGGAAGTTGAAATTTTATGCATTTCACAGTTTTCCCTGAGGCTGTAGAGTCATTGTTTCTTCCCAGCCTGCCCATTTCCTTTAGGAACTGGAGAGAAAAAGGGAAAAGGAAAGGGGAAGGCATTTTCATTTTCATCCCTTTTCATACTGTTTATTACACTCGGACATTATACAGTATTTTCAAAATTTTCCACATTTGTGGGACATCTTAGGATATATTTTTCCTCAAGATCAGGGCATTTGGGGGCATATTTCACAAATAAAAGAAAGAAGGTACAAAGGAATTTTGGACTTGCATAGGTCACCCTATTCTTTGGAATTAAACTCTGATTAGAACCCCAGCAATAGAAATATCACTGGAAAGTTTGTCAGCAGAAACTCAGACTTCTTTATGTAGCAACTTTATGCCTCAATGAGTTATTATTATTTTTAAAAATTTATTTATCTAAAATAAAATGTATTGGGCTGGGAGTGTAGCTCAGTGGTAAAGTGCTTGCCTGGCATGCAAGAGGTCTGAGGTTCAATCCCAAGCACTGAAAATAAAAATAAATAAGTAAGTAAGTAAGTAAATAAATAAATAAATAAAATGTTAAATTTAGTGAAAAGGAGGTGTTCCTAAACTATCAAAATAATTGAAAGCACAAAATGATTTGTTTATAGAATGTGCTAATTTACATAGATCTCTGAAAAACAATGGTCATAAAGACGTTCATATTAATTTTAAAAAATTTCTTTGCATTAAGAAGACCAAAAGTTGCTGACACCTACAGCTTTGCTCTTTGAATTTATGGGTAGGGGGGGCCTTCCTGGTTGTTTTATCGGATAGAATGCTTGGTTAGCATTTGCTCTAGGAGACTGAAAACCTGTCAGGCTTTAAATAAAACCTTTGTTGCTTATGCCTGCTGTTGTATGTTTTGCTTTCTGGATAGTGTCACCATTATTATCGTTAAGTAATTACAAAGCATTACTCCTTAAGCTTCATTATTCCTAAACTAAACAAAAATGGATTTACCTCATTTTTCTTTCAGAAAATACTCTTTCCTTTGATTACTCTTATTCTTTTGAACCAGCATATAATACTCCTACTGAGCCTATTTTAATCAAACAGATTCAGAGCATTCATGATGGGAACATTGACATTAGAACAGAATTCTAGAGGATGTATTCAAGGATCAAAATGACATGGGATCAAGTCCCTGAGTCCACTGTAATTCTCTCAAGCCATTCTATTCTCTCTACTTTTTCTGCAAACAGCCTGAACACACTCCAACTCAGGGCCTTTGCATTCAGTTTCCTGAAACACTTTTCACAGATGTGTACATAAGTCATTTCCTCGTTTTTTAAAAACTCTACTCAAATGCCGCCTTAGAAAAAATTTCTCTAACCTTATTATATAAAACAACTTCCCTCCCACCTCACTATCAATCTCCTTACCCTGCTTTTTGTTTGTTTTCTTATCTCCAACTAGAGTAAGCTCCATGAAAGCAGAGACAGAGCATATTTAGTTTTCTGCTGTAACCCAAGAGCCTAGATTATATCTGATACATAATAAATGATCTATAAATACTTTCTAGATGAAAGAAAGATACTTAAGGCCAGTTCTTGGTGCCTTATTTCAAGAAAACTAATGCTAAATCATGATGTGTTCATAGGAACGCCATCAAGGCCTAGATACCTTTCAGTTAAGCAGTTAGAGCTATTCAGTGTGAATCCAGAACAAAGGAAAACCACTTGGTTATAGGAAGGTAGGTTTGGAATGGAAGTAGGGAAGAACCTGCTAATTATTGCAGCTTTGTCTTTGATCTATCCTTATATAGGTGTTTATATAGATTGTATGGCCATGTAAGGATGATTGTAGAGGTTATCTAAGCATCTTATGCAAATTAGATTATATCACCTTTAATACCACTTCTTGAAAGGTATGATTCTGTATTGGCTCAAAAATTAATAATTGATTTTGATTTTTCTGTGAAATGCTACAAGATAAATGTATCTATTATGGAACATTCTAAATCAGGGTTTTGCAAATGGTACCACCTAGGACAAATCTGATCTGTCATCTCTATAAATATTTGTACAAATCTGATCTGTCATCTCTATAAACATTGGAACACAGACATGACCATTTGTTTAAATGTGGAAACTTCTGCTATTATTGTGGTATTTAGAATGTCCAGAGCATGCTCCCATTCAGATGAAGGAGGTGTCCTCACACCCTGAAATTATTACTAAGCAATCTTTCTGTATCTCAGTTTACTTCATTATGAAATTAATTATAACTACCTCATAAGAGTGTGGTGAAAGGAATCAAATAGATAATGCATGTAAAGATCTCTGATCAGTATGCCACAAATTAGTGCTTAGCAAATACTAGTAGCTATTGTTATTTTTAATATTTTTATTATAATGACCCTGGGAGTGACTATCAGAGGAAGAATAGAACAGAAATTCTATGAAGTATTGTGGAAGTGCTTTAATTAAATAATAATATCCTCCATTTGACTCTTTATTTCTTTTCAAAGAAATCACTAGCAGATAGTGAAAAACAGCATTTTTTGTTTGCTTTTAGCACATGGCCCTTATGATGCCTTAATTTGTTAATTCAGGGATTTATTATGCATTAGTATTTATATATGAAATATCATTTATTCTTAGGCTTCTATGAAGTCCCCCCCTTTCATCTAGAATACCTTTTTTCAACTATTCTTCTTTCTTTCTTTTTTCTTTTTTTGGTATTGGGTATTGAACCAGGGGTACTTTGAGAAAGGTTCTCACTAAGTTGCTTAGGACTTTGTTAAGTTGTTAAGGCTGGTCTTGAACGTGCAATCCTCCTGTCAGCAACCAGAGCCATTGGGATTACAGACATGTGTCACCACACCTGGTCCCTACTCTCCCCAAATCCTTTATGTTTCCTAACTGGCTCAATACCTGGTATGCTTTGAAACATACCCAAGATTTTCTTTTTCAACCAGTGTGTCCCTAACTAACCATATGACACATTGATCTTTCACCAATAAACAGCACCTGTAGATAACCTGTAGAATTTGTTCTATGCTATGAATATTGCCTGAAATAATTCTGTAGCTTTACCCTTATGGCTTGATTTCCTAGCTACATTGAAAACTGGGCTTGGATGAACTTTTGGGTGGTTGGTGCTTTATAAGTATTTAAAGATTACATGAAAACTTGTACCTATAGTTCAAATTACTTGTATTTTTTAAAATTGATATTCTTTAAAAGTAGACTTGCTGCATGGCAAAGCCACTGACAATTTTTATTCCTTAAAAATAGTTAGAAAAGAAAAGCACTCCTGTAATCTCAGTATTCCAAAAATCTAAAGATTAGCAGTCCATGAAATAAAAGATCCTGCAAACATGTCCTTCCAGCATGGTACACTATATAGTTTATGGTAAATAGTTATTTTTCATTTTTATTAAAAGGCGATCAAGAAGAGTAATTTAACAAAAAGAATCATTAGGTTTGGCATTGAGAGTATTATATTTTAATGTGCTAAAATATTTTAAAGTTCAGGGCACTTCACAGAGTATAGGTCTGCTACCTCAACTAAAAGGACTTTCGGTTTTAGTTTTTTCATCTAGTTTTTGCGTACGTTTATAAGGAGATACATGATGGATTGATTACGAAATAGACTATGACATGTGTCCCAGGGTAAATTTATATTGAAACTCCTTAACACTTAACTGTTTAAATGACTTCAGTTATATCTTCTATAGCTAAGATTACAATTTAGATACTTGAATCTGAATACTGATTATCAAACAGTAAATCAAATGCCAAAATTATAGCCAGAATAAGGTAGTGAGCTAATATGATAAGATTCAGGTAATTTTAATTTTTAGGGACGTTGTCCCTTGGTTTTGGTATTTTACAACAATGGTACCATTTATTATTTTATTTTATTTTAGCCATGCCCTTTGGGTTCCCGAGATTTTCGAGAGAAACAGTGTGCAGACTTTGACAATATGCCTTTCCGAGGAAAGTATTATAACTGGAAACCCTATACTGGAGGTAATGTATAACCTGGCAGAGTATTCATGCTTGAGAACTTTCAAATATAAAAGAGTATTTAACACATACAAACACACCACACAGTCGTGCAAGTACTAGTTAAATTAGTATCTGCAAATTGAGGCAGAAAGTGCTTGTCTTGTTACAAGGTTTTAGTTTCCCTATGATAAAATTTATATTGCTACAAAGTATTGGAAATTATTTTTAAAACCTAGTTCTAAATAACAATTAGAAAAGATACATACACATCAAAACCATATAATATTTGTTCTGCTTGAGACTTCCTTGGAATAGAGGTGAATCACATTATAATCATTGGATGTTTGTAGTCACCACCCAGAAAACAAAGTATACCAATAAAAAATCAACTTAGAAAAAGGAAATTAGTTCTTTTTTAGTAAAAGGCCAATCTTTACATAAGAGGTTATTCTTTTTGAGGAAGTAAGAGATATTTTGCTCCTTAATTTGGGCGTGTTTCAAGTACTAATTATTCAGTAAGCAGAAGATTTTCTTTGCTCCCAAAATACAAATTAGATTTTGTTGAAATTTTCTTTTAGAAAAATTGAACGTACTTTAAAAAAAACTTTTACTGTTTGTTTTTCTAATATCTTACTTTAAAAATTATCTGGCTTAGAATAATATCTGATTTTATGGTGACAACTGTATATCTACCACAGATGTTCTACCACTAACATTTTACTATACTTTATAAATGTCGGTTGATTTCTTTATCCATTTATTAACCCATCGTATTTTTTATATATTTCAAAGTCAACCAAAGTAATTAATATACTTTGTTTTAAATACTTTAGCATGTATACCATTAACCATAGAGCAATTATTTGTTTACTTTTTTCTTTTAAAGTAAGGGGATGTAGGGCTGGGATTTTGGCTTAACGGTAGAGTGCTCACTTAGCATGGGCGGGACCCGGGTTCGATTCTCAGCACCACATAAAAATAAAGGTGTTGTGTTGTGTCCATCTACAAAAAAGATCCTCTCTCTCTCTCAAAAAAAAAAAAAAAAAGTAAGGGGATGTACAATACAATGCATGAATCTTAACTATACTTCAACTGAATTTTGACAAATGCACACACCTGTAATATTTTGCTGAGATATAGAACTTTACCATTATCTTCAAAATTATTATGGTCATTGTCAGATCATGGTCAGTTCAGGTCATTATCAATTATCATGGACTGAGGGCTTTAAATAACAAAAATTATTTCTCACAGTTCTGGAGATTAGACCAAGATCAGGTGCCAGCATACTACCATCTTCTCATTTTATCCTCACACAGCAGAAAAAAGGGGGAGAGGTCTTTGGATTCCCTATTATGAGGGCACTAATTCCATTCATAAGGGTTCTGTCCTCATGACCCAGTTACCTTTCCATGGCCCCAACATCTAATACCAACCATCACATTAGAGGTTAGGATTTCAAAATATGAATATGAGAGGACGCAAGCATTCAGTCCCTAACTCCTCATGGTTCACTACTGTCAATAACTGCCTCTACCAGCTCCAAGAGGCAACAATTGTTCTGACTTTTTTCCTCAACATAATTATCCTGTTTCAGAACTTAATATAAACAAAATTATGCCATATTCACTCTTTTGTGTAGGGCTTCTTTAAACCTAATGCTGCGAGATTTATACACATTTTTGTATGTAGTAGTCCTTTTTGTTTTATTGCTAAGCAGTGTTCCGTGGTAGTTTTTCCATTCTGCCATTCTGGGTTGTTTCTAATTTTTAGCTGTTCTGAATAAGCTGTTATGAATATTTGTATGTACAGGGTTTTTTGTGAGCATGTTTCCATTTCTCTTGGGTAAATACTTAGGAGCAAAATTGCCAGGCAATAGGGTAGGTGTGGGGCTGGGGTTGTGGCTCAGCAGTAGAGCGCTTGCCTAGCATGTGCAAGGCACTGGATTCAATCCTCAGCACCACATAAAAACAAATAAATAAAATAAAGGTATTGTGTCCGACTACAACTAAAAAATATTTTAAAAAAATAGGATAGGTGTGAATTTACTTTCAAAAGAAACTGCCAGATTTTTTTTTTTCAAAATGATTGTACCATATTATATTCTCAACAATAACTTATGGGACTCTGTTTACTCCATATCCGTACTAATATTTGGTATTTTCAGTCTTTCTCTGGAAGGGGTTGAGTAGTGTCTCAATAAAGATTTAATTTTTGTTTTAGGATGATTATGTTGAACATGTTTGCGTTTACTTAGTAGCCATTTATATATTTCCTTTTAAACTTTGTGTTCAAATTGTTTGCCTTTTTAAGCAAAGTTTTAATTTATTTTTATTTTAATTGACAAATTTATGAGGTACAGTATGATATATGTATATGAGGTAATTAGCATTTCCATCTGCTCAAATATCATTTCTCTGTACTGGGAAACTTCAAACTCTTCTCTATTTTGAAATATATATATATAATAAATTGTTGTAGATTACGGGATGTTAGAACTAATTTGTCCTATCTAGCTATATTTGGGGTCTATTTCCAGCCTCCATTTCCCTTCCTCCCCATCTTTCCTAGCTTCTAGTAACCACTGTTCTTCAATGTGATCAACGTTTTTCTCTTTAACAAATGAATGAGAATGTGCAGCATTTGTCTTTCTGTGCCTGGCTGATTTCACTAAACACAATATCCTCTAGTTTCTTTATGTTACCCCAAATGACATAATTTTATCACTTTTTATGGCCGGATAATATTCCACTGTGGTTATAATCCTATAGACCTAGACCATTTGTGTGTGTGTGAGAGAGTGGGGGGGGGACGGGGGCGGGGCACTGGGGATTGAACCCAGGGCCTCACAATGAATGCTAGGCAGGTGTTCTATCACTGAGCTAGAGCCCCAGCCCCTAGACAACATTTTAAAAATCCATTTATCCATTGATGTATATCTTGATTGATTCTGTATATTGGCAATTATGAATAGTACTACAATAAAAGGTGTGCAGGTATTATATCTGTCTGGTATAATGATTTCTTTCCCATTCAATAGTGGGGTTTTGTCTTATATGGTAATTCTATTTCTTCTTGAGGAATCTCCTTACTTTTACTGTAATCATTGTAATAATGTATGGTCCCACCAAGACTGTATGAGTTCCTTTTTTCCACATCAATAATCACCATTTGTTACTTCTTGCTTCTTTCTAACTCGGATATCTCAGTATGGTTTGGACTTGGGTTTCCCCGATGATCGGTAATGTTGAACATTATTTCATATACTTGTTTGTTTGTATGTCTTCTTTTGAGAAATAACTATTCAAGTCATTTGACCACTTAAAAATTAGTTGATTTTTATTAGTATTTTGCTTTTGAGTTGAGTTCTTTATATATTCTGAATATTAATCCTTTATCATATGGATGAATTGTAAATATTTTCTCTCATTATGGAGGTTGTCTCTTCTCTCTGTTGATTCTTTCCTTTGTTATGCAGAAGCTTCCTAGTTTGATATACCATCATTTGTCCTATTTTGCTTTTGTTACCTGAATTTGGGAGGATATTTTTTAAAAATCTTGACCTATAGCAATGTCCTGAAGTATTTCCCCTATGTCCTCTCTTAGTTGTTTCATAGTGTTTTACTTTTTGTTGCTGTGACCAAAAGACCTGAAAAACGCAATTTTGGAGAAGGAAAATCTTATTTGGTGCGCCCAGTTTCACAAGTCTCAATCCATAGATGGCCAACTCCATTGCTCTAGGCTCAGAGTGAGGCAGAACATCAAAGCAAAGGGGCATGACTGAAGAAAACTGCTCAGGATATGACAATCAGGAAGCAGAGAGAGATAAGTTTGGCTCACTAGGGACAAAATGTATCCATACCCCAAAGGCTTATCTCCAGTCACCCACCCAGCCACACCCTCCCTGCCTACAGTTACCACCCAGTTAATTCCTATCAGCAGATTAATGCAGTGATTAGGTTAAGGCTCTTGAACCCAATCATTTCCCCTCTAAACTTTCTTGCACTGACTGTCACATGAGTTTTTGGGGAACACCTCATATCTAAAGCATAACACATAGTTCCAGGTCTTACATTTAGGCCCTTGATCCATTTTGAGTTGATTTTTTTAATATGGTAAATCTTTTGCCCATATAGTAAGAAGTACAGTCTAATTTCATTCTTCTGCATATGTATATCTTGTTTTCCCAGCACTGTTTATTTAAAAAACTGTCCTTTCTTAATGTCTTTGTTGAGAATCAGTTGGCTATAAGTACATGAATAAATTTCTTGATTTTTCTATTCTGTTCTCTTGTATGTGTGTCTGTTTTTATGCCAGTATCATGCTGATTTTTTTTATAGTATGTTTCAAAGTCAAGTATTGTGATGCCTCTAGCTTTTCTTTTTTCCCTTTCAGGATTATTTTGACTATTCTGGGTCTTTTATGGTCTATAACAATTTGTGAAGAATATCACTGATATTTTGATATGGATTACCTTACACTTATAGATTCCTTTAGAATGTACCAGTGTTGGGCTGGGGTTGTGGCTCAGCAGTAGAGCGCTCACCTACCACATGTGAGGCCCTGGGTTCGATCCTCAGCACCACATAAAAAGAAATAAATAAAATCAGGGTATTGTGTCCAACTACAACTAAAAGATAAATATATTTAAAAAAGAGAAAGCGTCAGTGTTTTAACAATATTAATTCTTCCAATCCATAAACATGGATGTCTTTGTGTGTGTGTGTGTGTATGTATGTATGTATGTGTATGTTCTTCAAATTCTTTATTAGCATTTTATAATTTTCATCGTGGAAATATTTAACTTTCTTTGTTAAATTTATTCCTAGGCATTTTAATTTTTGTGATCATTGTGAATGTTATTGCATTTAAAATTTTTTTATCAAGAATGTTATGTGTACAAAAATGCTACTATTTTCTGTATGCTGATTTTATATCCTGCAATTTTACTGAATTTATCAGTTTTTGGTTTTATACATATCCACACAATTATGTCTTCTGCAAACAGGAAAAATTTAACT